GTACGTGAGCTTGGAGTGTCAGAAAAAAACACCCTGAAAAGACATGACATATCTTTTAAAAAAAAAGGGGGAAGATTCTGTTTTCTTTGAGGATATGATGTTCATGGGATCTCCCTGTTTTCAGTATTACCACACTCAGTGAGAGATCGTTTTGCAGCTAATCTAACTACTTTATACCATAATCATTTTCCTTCATCTCTGCATAATGTGAAGAAACAAGAGCACCAGCTTATTTGTTTCTCCATTTTCTAGGGAACTCATAATCAGTGTGCGTGAAAAAAGGCAAAGAAGATAAATTGCCGTACCGTCTCTACCACCTACGAGTTAGTGTAGTAAGCAAGGATGCTGCTACTAACTAAACTATCCTAAATTAATATCCTGACGACAATCATGATTCGGTGCTCCACTGTTGCATGATTTTCTAAAATTGAACAGATAGCAGATATTCTCACAGTATCTGTGTGCTGTGATTCTGAAGTTGTGCTCTCACACAGCTCAGGAAAGAGTCTGCTGCATTGCAACATGTAACACTTTATCTGCACCTCTGAGTTGTACTGAGGGGAGAATGCTTCTGTACTGTTTGTTCAGCCTGCTTACCGATGGGCAACAGGGAGCCAGGCTGGTAATTTATCCTAACCAAGGCTAAAATAAGCCTTTCTCCTCCTGTCTATTTACTCCAAACAGGTTGCCTTGTGCATAGGGATGTTACCTTTGGATTTAGGGAAACTTAAAAAGAAAACGTCATCCAAAAATCAAATATACATGTTTTTCTTATGCTTTGTAGTGCTGTTTTTACATCTAGATTTTTTTTTTCTTCTGGTTTGAGTTGCTCAGTTGTGGACATGCCTGCCTTCTTTTGAATGTAATGGAGTTACTGTAGATAGCACTTGCCTTGCACTGCTAAAAGTGGAAAAAATGGCAGAAGGAAGCATCTATGACAAGAGGCGTAACCATGATAGGATGTAAATAATAGGTCCCAGTGCTGAGCTGTAATGTTTTGTACCTGAACACTTTTTTGGTTGGATGTACAACCCAATCTCCCCCCCAAAATTAATAAAAACATAATGCAACACTTCGCAGATCACACAATCCCATATGATTATCTACAATATAACATAGAAAACATACTAAATGTTCAAATTGAGGTAACCGCCCCCTGATAATGTAAAGGTAAGGAATTCAATGGCAGCAATCCATCTAAAAGAAATGTTGTGACATGGCCGTGTTTACCTCTGTGTCAGCAAAGCCGTGTTGTTGTAATATTTCTGCAGTTTAGTGCACCTGCTGTAGCACTGTCTTGTTGATAGACGTGGTGGTGTCCTATCCTCTTTAAACCAGAGGATGCAGCGTCACTGTGCCTTAGTCCATTTTAAATGATCCAGAGAAGACTACACATTTTCTAGATCATCTTCACATTATGGTTGTTTAACCTGCATTTGTGGATGGCAATTTGCGTTTACAGAGAGGGTTTTCTGGAAGTATTTGTGAGCCCATGCAGTGATATTTACTGTATGATAGAATCGTGCCTGTTTTCAAAGCGGTGCTGCGTGAAGGCCCATTGTGTTGTTAATGGCGAGATATTGACAATCTTTACAATTTTACATTAAGGAACAATATTCTGAAAGTGTTCCACAATTTGTAGATGTTGTTTTTTGCAGGTCGATGAACCTCTGCCATCTTTGCTTTTTAGAAACTCCGCCTCACTCAGATGCAATTTTCATGTCCAGCCATGTTACTGACCAATTAACCTTTATTTAGTATTATATTTGCACGCTGTTCCTCCCCTTTTGTTGATCCCATCCTAACTTTTTTGAGATGGGTTGCTGCCATCAAATTATAAATAAGCGTAATATTGTTCCTAGAATAATAAAATGTCTCAGATTAAACATTTGTTTACATGTTTTTTAATGTGCTTATGAGATTTTCAAATCACTGCATTGTGTTTTTATTGACATTTTACACATTGTCCAAACTTTCCTGGAGTTTGAGTTGTAGGCATCCATCCATTATTATATTCAGGATCAAGGGTGAGAGGCAGGGCACACCGCACAGGCAGCCAGTCCATTAAAGGGTGGACAGATTAAAACTGCTCACAACAAGATTTGAATCGAACCGAAGTGAATTTTTTATTTACTTATTTATTTATTTTTTGACAAATTGGATTTTGATTTCTAGAAATCACATTGCTACTAATTTTCTGATGTGTATTTTTTGGTGCTTTGAGCACCACAAGACAAAGTGCCATCTGCTACCATCATACTCAAGAGAAGGCTTAATTTCCTACAGCTATACCTCCAAAACTATATTAAAATGAAGTAAAATGCTCTACACAGGGTTGACCCAAATCACCTCACTAGACCACGTCTCCCCTCTCACCTATTTATATTCTCCTTACGCAATGAAAATATTATATAAGCAGACATGCACATGTGTACTGAATGTTAAATCAGGGGGAAAACTGAAGATGTCCGTGGAATAATAACTGATTTCCTCACGTGTCGTCTGTCTTGATGGTTTCGAGCCAGTTTGTACAGCACATCACGAATCATCCGACTGAGACATACCAAACACGTCTTGTACCTTTTTGCACCACAGAATATACTGGATATATTGTAAATAGATAATATAGATTTATTCTGAAAAAGTGATTGCTTTGCCCAGTGTGTGTATCTACGTATGTATTTGTACAGAGAAAATCTAGTTTAAAAGAAAAAAAGAATATTATAGTTATTATAGTTACTATTATTCACATTTAATATCGGGGGGAGTCCTATATGTGATAAGAGACAGAAAACAGGCAGCTTTTATAGAATGCGTGACATTATTACAGATCTACACTTGTCATTAAATTACCATGTCATGTTACTACAGGATTATTAAGAGATGGCTGCGTGTCATCTGTAAAGGTATGCAAAGGGCTATGCTGTATTGGTGAATACGTACAGTACACCACAAGTCACGCCACAAACACACACACACACACATACACGCACTAGCATAACAAACAGCTGCACATGTGATCACACAAACACGCAAACATGCACACGGCTGCCAAAGCAACAACAAATTTAAGCTTAGACTTACCTTTGAAACTGCTTGATTTCTCAAGTCAGTAACCCCACTTTGTTTACTGTAAACTCTGACTTGTACTATACCGCATGACATATTTTTATTTTTTGTTTGCTTTGTTTTTTTTTTCATTTACAATACACAGGAGGAGTTTGAGTCTACGTTTTCGTTATTATTGTCAGGGCATGTTTGCTTTGTTGATGTCATTTTCTCCTTTCTCTCTCTTGCTCTACTCCCTCTCCCCCCTTCTCTTTTCTACCCTTACCCCTTGCCTTCTCCGTGGTTGTCATGGAGATGCACCAATCTGCATCCTCACTGTGGAGCACTGTCATTAATCTCTGCACCGTCACAATATTTCTATAAAGGAGATTTCTTAAAGATCAACATGTTTACTAAAAGAATTTCTAATTTTTCTGTTTGAAGAGAATGAAAGAATAAAGTAGTTTTTACTCTCAGTCTTGCGTCTCCACGGTGTCTGTGTATGAAGCACTCTCTGCCTTTCTAATGAATTAATTTGCAGCAGGTGTGCAGGGAGGATGGCGGAATGAAGGAGCTTATGGGAAATCAGTCTGACCGGTGTTTCGCTGTCATTCCACCACACCTGGTCTGAACTCATTCATTAGAGGTCCTTCCACCAAACCCCCTGCCCCCAAAGTAACACTGAATCTGAGGTGTCTGAATGTCATATGCGTCTGCTGTAGTGGTTCTCAAAGTTGGGTCCAATGACTTGTGCAGGTACCTGATCCATATGCACAAACCTGTCCATAAAATCTGCTCTAAATTGTGCTGTAGTAATAAAAGACACATATCTACAGATGGGGACCATTTACAGAAATAATGCTATCATTTGGCCAATAGTAATCTCTTAAAAGCGTCCTTTTGCATTCCTCAGACACCATGGTTCATATTGACATGATATCATTGCATAGTCACTGCAGATTTGTCAGTTGAAGATCCATGATGAGAATCACCAAACCCCAAATGAGCTCTACAGGATTGAAATCTGATGACTGTGGAGGCCATCTGAGTACAGTGAACACATTGTCATTGTCAAGAAAGCAGTTTGAGATGATATGAGCTTTGTGACACACACATACACATGGTGCTCAGCTGATACTAAGAGGCTGAAAGTGTGCCAAGAAAATATCCCTCATACCATTACAAGACACCAGCTTGAGCTGTTGAAAACCAATGTTTTCAAGTTGTTTTTGCTAAATTTAAACTCTACAGCAGGTGAAGCGGACACTCATTAAACAAAGTATTTTCCAGTCTTCTATTGCCCAGTCTTTGTGAGCATGTGACCTCAGTTTCTGTTGCTGTAGCCTCAAGGCTTGACATCAAGATTTGACATGTGGTGCATTCACAGATGCTCCACAGCACACTTTGATTGTTAAGAGTGGCTATTTGAGTTACTGTTGCCTTTGTATCAGCTCAAATCACTCTGGTCCTTCTCCTGTACGCCTGGTAACAGCAAGGCCTTTTCTCCCAAAGAATTGCTGCTCAGTGGATATTTCTTCTTTTTCAGACCATCCTCTGCAAACCCACAGAGATGGGCTGTGCAGGAAAATTCAAGCAGATCAGCAGTTTTTATCAGAAAGGCCCGTCTGGCACCAACAATTATGCCATATTCAAAGTTATTTAAACCATCCCTCTTCCCCGTTCTGATGTTCAGTTTGAACCTCTGCAGGTCGTCTCAAGCCGAATGCTTAAATGTTCCTGATGTGTGTGCTAATATGCAGCTGAAATGATGCATCCAACAAAGTGCCTAGTGAGTATATAACCACAGCCTTGGATTTAACGGTTATGTTAGCTATTAAGCTACTGCAGACTTCCCTTGTTGAAACAGCAAGACTTACTAATTTGTAACTCCCTACTGCAACGTCAAAGTGCAGACATTTGATGAAACAGTCAAGTGGAGAAAGTCTCGATTGTTTCTTTTATTTTGCAAATCACTCTTGAGAAAAGATAACGAACATCTCAACACAGTTATAAAGAGACTGAAAAGCCCCAACACCACTTTGGCTGAAAAAAAAATACCTTAAAAAAAACACAGATGATATGAACATAATACATAATAATAATAAGACAGTGAAATCGATTTGTGCAAATACCTGTAGGCTTACACTTGTGATAGAGCTCTCACGATCAGCTCACAATTTCTCATTTATTCCTGTCCTTTCGGAACTTTGTCCCTGCTCTTCACTTTTTTCCCTCGCAGTGTCTTTGGAAACAAGTGTTCAAAAAGTTCAATATAAAGAGGACTGTGCTGGGAATAGATTTTGAAGTGGACTGAGTGGAGTTCTTCAGACAGATCGTTGAGTGCAGATATTCATCTCTTGTTGCTCTTACTTTGGTTTGTCTGGATGGACCTCTCCATCTCCAGGATCTGCCCACAGAGGATCCAGGATCACCCCAAAGAAATCTCACAGATGTTCCTTAGTCAGTTTTTTACATAGTGGTCTCCTCCCATTCCAGTTCAACATCACCTGAAGAGCAATAAAACCTTATGAGGTGAGCACTGAGCTGCATGTTTGTTTGTTTTTTTAAGTATGACCTCATATATTTACCTTCCATGGCATCCAGGGAGTCCATCTTCTCCAGAGCAGAGTAGCTAACAAACCATATCGACTGGCTGTTGCCTTTGTTGTTTAGAAGTTCCAGCGTACTTTGGTGCAGGAAGATGTACTGGGCCTGACAGCACACATATGCATAGACATATTTCTGCTTATTCAGACCATATGTTCTTTTGCATTAATCGCACAAAGAACAGATGTTGATATGAACAATGATATAGTCCTAACAAAAGAGTGGGAAAAGCAGATTAAGTTTGAATTGCTGCGGTACGAAGATTGTACCACTTGATTTATTTTTCAGAACTAAAACTTGACAGAGGTGATTTAAAGCTAGAGACATGTAAATTGGCTGTGTGTGAATGGTTTTGCATCTCTGTGAGAAGTGGTGACCTGTCCAGCGAACCCTCCTCAAAATTTCTTGCTGCTTTACTTGGTGATTAAGTGGTTAAAATAATGAATGAATAGATGGATGATTTGAGATGTGCAAAAATACTTTGGTATCTTAATGGCTGTGACGACAACACCTCTTGGTGGTTTTTGCTTTGGACGTTTTATTTAGTTTCATTACTTTCAAATAAAGGATTTTGAAAGAAAACTTCAAGCACTCAGCAGTGCAGAAAAACTGGTTCTGGGTTGTCGCTCTGTCTTCCAAGATGACAACAACCAAAAACATGGTGAAAAACTACGTCCAGAAGATCAAAGTGAACTGGCCTGAAATTGAATCCCATCGAAAATCTTTGGGGTGAACTGAAATTTGAGAGATTAGTCAAAGCAAAGCTGGCTGGGATTGCTCAGGGAACATGATTGTAAATGACTGTAAGCTGTTATCCAGCACAAAACACAGCTGTCTATTAGCAATAGTCAAACTAGGATGTTTGGAAATGTGTTAAAAACTCCTTATTCTGTTTAACAGGACTTGAAATACTTCCCAACTATATTCCCAAATAATTTTGTCCTTATCTCTATAGTTTGAACTAACAGCAGTTGTGTAATTCATGAATACTGAACTATGAATGATAGAGTCTATTAGCCAGTACAGTCCCAGTCTTTGACGTTTCAAGTGTATTGTTTAGTCCTATGTGTGGTTTGAGTACTTGTGGCTTTTGTAATTAATTATAATTGTCATTCATGGTCTTTTTATTTCAGCAGGAAACTGGAACTACGTTTGCAAAATCTGATGGACTTTTACAACAACATCAACCCTTTGATGCCATAAACACATAAGTAGCTCAAATCAATGACTGTAGAAAACTTTTAAAGTGTCCTTTTAAAGCCGTCTGAAAAAGGCACTCTGCTTCAGAGTCTCAGCAAGGACATTTATGAGTTTGTAAAATAATCAATATGAATGATGTCCTCAGGCATTGTACTAATAGCTAGCCTGGCACACTGAAAACTGAACTCTCAAAGAATCATGCCTTCAGCAAGCACAGCTCTCATAGCTGCAGACACTACAGGCTCAAATCCCACAGCCAGATAATGGACACAAAGACGTGGAGAAAGTCTAGCAACAAGAAAACAATTACACAGAAGAAGCACAGTAACCACAGCAGGCAGAGAGTCTATACAGGCACTGACAGACAAATCAGCAGTCCACAAGTAAACACTAGGGTAAATATAGGAAAGGTTCAAGCTGATTCAAAAGAGGGAATCCTGCTCAGCGCTTGCTTTTAATCCACCGCCAGATCATTCCCTTTGTCAATACTAAAATTTTCCGAATATCTTCTGATGGGGATGAGATCACAGCAGGGTACAAAGTAAAAAGTAGGGCAGCTACATTTCCATTTGTCAGTCTTTGATGATTCTTAAGTTTATTGGAAGAACTTAGGATAAATAAATAAAAAATCATATTTATTCTATTTATCATGAAGCTCACATGCAAAAGGATAACATACTGCTGCACTTATGGTAAACTTACCAGATTCTGTACCATACACATCCTCTCGCTGCGCAGTTCAGCCACCAGCCCATAAATATCGACAAAGTCATGATCTCTGACATGCTGAATAAGATGATCCAAAGCAATAAACACACCTGTTCTTCCTACGCCAGCGCTAAAGAAAATGCAAGAGAGCAAATGCCATTATACTTTCAGCTGTACTGTTATACCACACAAAAGGATTTAGGTCTTGTTTGTAGGTGTAATACAAAAGAGGATATGAAATTACTGACAGTGAAGCATTTATTGATAATCTGTTGATATGAGACTCAATTTTAATGACCAAAAATTAAATATTTAGCTATAGTTCATGCAATGTTAGTCTCCCTTACATGAAGCTGATAGCGTACCTGCAGTGGACAACAATAGTGCTATTGTCCTGCCTGTGCATTCGGACAGCTTTGACAAACTTAATGAGCGTACTGCAAGACTCTGGAACGCCGTGCTCAGGCCACGATGTGTAATTGAAGTGGCGAACCAAAATGTAGTGGCCATGCTGCAGGACAGGAACACACATAACAGGAAGTCAAGTATAAACTCTGTTTTTATGGCAGATTTTTTTCAGTGATAACAGAGATAACATTTATTATTTTTCTAACAATGAACAAATTTAATTAAAAGGATGTAGGCTCTCTCAAGCCATCAAACTACTGATGGAGAAATGTCAAAACAAAACTTTCTTAATGTAATCAGAAATGTAATTCCAAACTAAAAGGTTGTGTGAGCATCCTCAATATGCCTGCACATCTTACTACCAAAACAAGATGGTTTGAGATGGTTACACTCTGGTTTCCTATGAAGCACATGTAGTTCTAAAAAGATGTAAAGCCTCCCCTATCATTCAGCTTTATTACATAGAGTTTCCAAGAGTTTTTTTTTTATATATTTTCTTATATAACATAAAATTCTGATAATTGTGATAATTTATCACCCCAAAATTGGGCAGTGCCACCATTACTTTTAAAATTCATGTTACAGGTTCTACTAAGAAACCAGTGCTTTTGACACCAAGAGTCTCAAAAGACAAGTCTGAACTTAGAGCTCTCCTTATTGGCTGTAGGTAAAATTATTTCCTGCTCCCAAATTCCTATAAAACTGGAAGAGCTCGACATAAATACCAGTTCAGCTTGAAAAGGGTAGCCGGAGTCCTAACATTACTTTACATTCAACAGTGTCTTCTGATGGCTACCTTATGCACATCACTGAATCACTTTTTCCACCTGCACCCCTTAATAAAGCAAAAATGTTGTCTTTGCAGTCAGTGGATGATGCTGTTTCCTCCATACTTAATCAGTTTAATGCCTTTTTGTTCTTCATCAAGTGTTTCCATGTTATTCGCTCATCAATAATCCAGTAAACCTGTACTTTAGTTTGCCAGAAGTGTAAATTGTTCAGCCTGTTTTAATAAACCAAAGGTTTTTTAAAGCAAACCTTTTCAAAGGTTCATTCATTAGAGGAGCTGGAGAAGTGGGGGCATATTAGCAGATGGTTTTTATTTTTGTTTAGTCTTTTAAATCTTATTAGTTATTTTTGACGAAAAGAGAAGTTGCTTTTTCTTTTTTAATTGTAAAAAAATAAAAGAACTAAACTAAACAAAAAAAGCCAATTTATCCTCATAAAATAATAATAATAAAATGGCACCATGTTGCCTAGCAACCACTTAGCGAAGAATTAAAATAACACTGATATAGTAGAGCAGAACCTGAGCACTGCAGGTGACTCGTAAAAAACATGCAATATTTTTAAGTATCTCCACTTTCCAGGTGCACAAATAGACCAAACAATACTGTATCACTGACATGAACTAATATTACTATTGCATGCACACATATATTTCAAGTCATGTGTGCACTGTAAGTGTGCATGTGTGCATGGTAGCCGGTGAATGCTCACTTGACGGAGGTTATTGGCGCCATACCTTTTCTACTTTCAGAGTTCTGATAGTCCAGTCAGGAAAGACTTCCTCTGACACCTTTGAGATGAGAATGTCACTAAACACTGACATCGGCTTGTTGTCTTCAGGCCAGTACTTGTGACATCGAATCTGAAATGTCACACACACCCACACACACATACATCAGCTCTTTAGAGCAGACATAAGCATCCAGGGAATGAAGCCCAAATACTGGCTTGTACTCTGAATGCTAATAGCAGTGAGGTTTTTTTCTAACAGTGACAAATCTCTCATACGCACTCTGCCTTTCTCATAACACTGAGTGAGCATGGCGATAGTGCGGGTTCCCGTTTCCCAGATCATCCTCCAAAAATCAGCCACAGTGCCCGGCAGAGGGCCCTGGGTGGCTATGAACTCATTGGGACACAAATAACCCTACAGACAAAGAAAAAAGGAGACGGGGAGGCTTACATCTACCCTTATGCATGTGGATGTCTATCTGACAGAATCGTGACTAACTTGTACTCACTGAGACAAAGCTGGCATTGATGTAGTCTGAGCCTGCAGTGCCAGGTTCAGACAGCAGTTTCACTCGGTTGTTATTATCTAAAAACAGTACAGGGATAATAATACAGCTGAATTTAAATATATGAAATGCGACCACAGTGAAGCAAACAGCAATGCGAGATAGGAACAATTCTGGTACGTTGTAGGCGCAACGGCCTTGAAAAACTAATTTCAGCCTGGCAACATACAAGGTTTGATGTTTGGGAAACGATTTTTGGACTTGTTCCACGGCAGGTCGGCGTCTGTAGTGGCCAGGTCCTGCAGCAGCTTTGGGAGTTCCTGGATGGACAAAATATAACACATCAGTATTCACAGAAACACACAAAGGTCAAGGCTACACTTTTTGCCAAAGTAAAATCAAGGGCTACGAGTGAGTGAAAGATAAAAGTAAAAACAGGTGACTACTCACCCATTTCCTGCTGGCAAACTCAAAAATAAAACTCACAGTCCTTTTGACTTCAGAAAATATTATCTAATATGTATGTAAATGGTAGAACAGGTTTAGTTTTAAAATTATGCATTACTGAAACATCTAAGGTCAAAAATTAGTGAATTATCTAATGTATTAAATGTAATATGAACCACTAGTTTTTCATTTTCTTCTGTATTTATTTATTATTGTAGTCATTCATTTTCCATGTATATCTTAAGATTTTCATCTACTGTATTAACACTGCTTTACAAATCTACTATCAAAATCATTTTGTATGTTTCTGTATGGTTAAAACAACCAGTATCCCCAAGTTCTTAAAAAAAAAAAAAATTTTCATGCTAAAATATAATTAAAATATAATTATTGTTATTATCATTGAAAAGCTGAATAAAAATAAAGCAAGTTTGATTAGAGTGACAAATTACAGTTATTTATTTGCATTCCTAAAGAGAGAAAAATTGTTCTAGTGGTTGAATATTATGATTCTCTGAGAGATCAAACTTAGAATAAAAACCTGAGTTTGTTATTTTGTTGCTTTGCCTTTGTATTTCTTGACAAATACATCAAATCCTGTAACCCAGTAACCCAGAGATATCACATACATACTCATTTTATGTATTCACGTGAAGATGTAAACAGAATTATTTACCAACTATTATTAAAAAAACAGTATTTTTAAAGTATTTAAAGTATCAGCAGCATTTCTGAAGAACCTAGGCATTTACCATGTAGCTGGTGTTGATCAACTAATAGGTGAAATCTGGATCAAATTACAGAATGACACATTTGCATGAAGAAGCACAGATGTATAAAAAAATGCAAAAAGACTTGTAATTAATAAGGACAATTTAATTGAAGGCAAAATTGGGGTAACTTTATAAAATGTTCTCTACATTAATTTTTAATAATCTGTTAATAATCTACATTTAATGGCATATGAATGTATATATTTAACTTTATCTATTTTACCTCTGTTTTTGTATTTATAGTTTATTTATTGGTCTGGCATGCACAGGGTAAGGTTGTAAAGAAACACGTACAGAGAACTCCTCCTGGAACTTGGAATTGTCATTGGCACACAGATCCTCTACATGCTGCAGAAAAGACTTCTTGTTGACAGGCCTGTCGGTGAGGGCGGGGGAGAAATGCACTGAATGTGAGAAGCAGAAGAGGATGCACAGTAACTCTACGCCTATATGTGAGTTTCTTTAAACACATTCAAGGATACAAGCAAGACTAAGCAGCACAGGGCAGACTCTTTCATACTGCACTGTGTGCATATTTGAAATATTTACACAGGGCGACTTACTTGAGTGATTTCCTGTAGCTGAGCAGCCTGGATAAAAATAGACAGTAAAAATCAACCAATATAAACAAATGAACTCAGTAATCACAGCCCACACGACAGCATTTTCTGTCCACGACAGAACTGAACGGATCCCCACTTCAGACAGAACATGGCGATGTGTTGAAGGCAGGGACGGTTAACCATTTTTTAATCGCTTTGGTTAAACATCGACACAGACTTTGATGTTTTGTTCTAAAGGAATATGTGAACATCAGTAGCATCAATTGAATGCAGCTATTCCCCCGGGGAAGCCTTCTTGTTGCAGCGCTGTGACATGCAGCTACGCAGATCCTCAGCCATCGATAAAGCTTACACATTAGTACCCTACAAGAGTGCTAAGCCTTCCGAGCAAATTTTAGATAACAAGTTGGCAAACAAATTAAAATGGTCTTAAGCAGAGGTCTGTCAGCAACTCTCCAGCTTCCCTGACATTGATGGAGAATAGGGAGCAGTTTGTAGGTAATACATTGATGTCACTGATTTGTTCAACTTTTGATCTCCACTGAAGGTTTACTAAGCGGCACAGATGGATTAATTAATGAAAGCTTAATGAGTAACACTGTGATGACACACATGCACGCAAAGCAGACTACAGCTTACAAACAGATATATGCAACAAAATGTGCCACACACATGTTAAAAGCCCAACTTACTGGATCACATAAATCTCTTTCCGTCGAAAGAAGAATGAAGAATACCTGGTGGGAGAGAAGTGCTCAGTGAGAGAAAAACAAAAGCCTAAGCGAGCAAATGCAGGTGCTTGAGTTGTGCGGAAGAAATCTGGCTAAATACAATGAAATGTGTGTTATTTTAATATGAAACTCAGCAAAGCATTAGTGCAGGCATACCACAGAGTCAAGGACAGTCCTCATTTAATGTAGATCAGCTGAAAATAGATGACCTCAGTGCAAGGGCACATCAGCTAAGGACTTAGCTGGTACCCTTCTATGCATCTAACTGGAAAATATATATTAAGTTGCTTGAACTTGTCTCCTGTTGCTGCTGCACCTGCAGCTCCCTTTGCAACCCATCTCCAGTCTATCTCCTCCCTTTAATGCTCTGCCTGACCATATTGCCAAATATAAATTGTTGTAAACTGCAAATGATGTTGAAAATTAAGCTGCCAGGCAAGAGGAAAAAAAGAAGAAGAGGTTTGTGGATGTAGTGATGGAGGACATGCAGAGGGTGGAAGTGACAGAGGAGAGGATGCTATGGATAGAGTGACATGGAGGCATTGAGCAGCCAAAAGAAGAAGATGGATATTCTTGTGAGAGAGGTAGTGTGTATAGAGACCTCGTTTCATCACCTAACTTGGGAAGAGAGTCTGGTTACAACAAAGCATAGAAAAGAATCTGTCCTAATGACCGCAATGTGAACTGCGTATGGATATTTTGGTTCACATTTTTTTGCTTGTTTGAAACTTAAAAAGAGTGGTTGTCAAACTGTCCTCAGGAACTGCATCCTTTATCAATTGCCTAATTAGAAGAGATAAGTAGCAATTATCCTCTGCAGGGAAGAACTTGTATTTATCTTCTTGTAATTAGGTTCTGTGTTTTAATGCTCGTACACGGTCAACTTTTCCTGAAGACAGACACATTTACTTGCCTACATGGACCTCTTTATTTTTGTTTTCTGTTGTGTTTTGTCAGTATGTGGCTGACAGTATTCTTTAAATGTTGTGGAAGGAAGGGGTTCACTTAGAGGTTGTTTAAATGGCAAAATCTATTTATGCATTGTTAATGGCTACACTGTTAAAAAAAAACATCTTAAAAAAACGGTAATATTCCGGCAGCTGTGGCGCCAAAATACTACCGTAAAATAACAGAACTTCCTCGTAAAAATACGGTTATTTCCAGTAATGACAATACAGTTTGTTGCGCTAATTTTACATGGAATCTTGCCTTTTCAAGTGATTTTAAACATTAAATTAGGAACATGTTAATGTGATTAAACAATGAAATTATCTATAAATAGGGAAAAAAAACAAATCGTAAAAAAACAGTAATATTCCAGCCAGTGGGGCGCCAAAATACTACCGTAAAATAACAGGAAATAACTTTCTCATGAAAATACAGTTATTTTCAGTAATGAAAATAGAGTTTGTTGCGCTAATTTTACATGGGATTCTGCCTT